TCCATGTTTCGATCAGTGATTATGGAATGTAACAAGTTTGGTTTTTCACTGGCCACAAACAGCGAACTTCAATTAAAATGTCATTACATGACTGAGAAAAATCTAACAGAAATTTCATAGGTCGAGAGTTTTTGTAGCAACTCACTAAATCAAACATTGAATCCTCTAATATATACATATGAATAATTTTATACTTACTGAGTCTTTGTGTAATACGATTTAGGACATAGAATAGCGAAATCCATAGACTTTATCATTCAGGATGTTGTTCATGTTAAAGTTATTAAAAACTCTTCTTCTTGATCAAAGTCTCAAAGAGATTACCAATAATTATTATGAAGGCAGACTGCTCGATATTGGAACAGGAGCGAGCGCTAACTGTGTTCTTCAAAACAAAGTGTATAGTTAACACTTTCCATAGGCATAGGAAGGATTTTTTTTTTAGGTTGCGGTTAAAAACATTAGTCAACATTACAATTACTATTGCCGCGATTGATAATTATTCTTATAATCATTTCACCCCAAGCAAGGCAGTAAAGTCACTAAGACTCAAGTGGTTACTGGGTGCGGAAGAATCAGAAAACAAAAACATTAATAATGGGCGAGAACAAAAGAAGTGTAATCAGAAAGAGTGTAGATAACGATTGACACTGAATTTAATTTTTTAAGATCAAAGCTGACTGAAGAGTATGGGGGAGTAATGAAATTTCGCAAGCGAGAAAAGGATTTTTTGCATGGAACTTACTTTTATATATAGCCAATTCAACTATAAATTGATGAGGCCTTCTTCCCAATCTAGTATTGCGATGAAATTCATAAATTCTAGGTACCATAGCGAATAATCCATCCGAACAATTACCATGAAATTATTTACAGAAAAGGCACAGGGAAACAACTTTACCCCGTTGGAAAGTGACTGAAGACGAGAAGCCAGGTTAGGACCAATAATATTGCTGATTCTTCTTCGCATTTTATCAAGAATCCCTAAATATATATCAAGAGCACCAGACCATATGAGGCATCAATATTCCACTTATGGATGAAGGGTAGACCTGTTATCGGAAAGGAACCTATTAATAATAATAGTGAGGCAGCTTAGTTCTGAATACTGTCAAATGATTAATAGCTGACATGCAAGCGCCATACGCGTATAGACGCTAATGTAATAATCGTAATTCTATTCTTTATATCAAAGGCTGCAATTTATTTGTATTGTTCACTTCTTTGTTTATTAATATGGGCACAATGACTACGAAGCCACAAATGAGCAAATAATCATATTCGACAAAAACTCTGAAAATTGATAAAAAGGAAATTAAAAAGTCAAACAAATTCTGAAACATGTCTATAAACATATAATTCCTACCTAGCTAGAAGTAAACAATCATTATTCTTCAATTATTAAAAAAGTATTCTCCAAAATACTTCTCGGTTCGACCATTTCAACATGAGGATATATCAATATTACACAGCACAATATATATGGGTCATTTTGTCACCATTGACAGTAAAAAGTGATTTGAAGGGTTGCTCTTTATTCACATATGCAAACAAGGAATTTGTTTGGCTTTCTGATGTTGAAATAATAACGCAACGAACATTATCGCTTGTCTTTGGTCCGTAGAAAATCAACCTAATGCTTCAAATTCTTCCGTTAGTCCGAAGTTAGTAAGTTAGTATCTCTTATTGAGAAAAGGAAAGCTTCTATGTTAATAAGAAAGAAAGAAATAACGAAAGAAATATAAAGTATATGAAGGAAGAAATAATTCTATCAGGCGTCTAACGTCTACTTAATTAAAATGCCTTTATATGAATTACTTTTTAATCATTTCGCCGCAAGTAAGGCAGTAAAGCCACTAAGACGCAAGGTGGTATCTGACAGATTATGAGTATGAGAAAAACAGAGTTAAAAAGAAAGAAGATAACGATGACATTGCATTTATATTTTTAAAAATCAAAGTTGACTGAGAAGCACAAAACCAGAAAAGATTTCCACAAATGAGAAGTGCCAACGAAAAAAGTGTTAGCATAGAACTTACACTTACGTCTATCCATTTCAATTGAAAAACAATTAAACCAATACATAAATCTAGTACTGCGCTTAAATTCAGAAATTATATATACCACAGTAGAACTTTATTCAGAACAATTACCATGAACGTATTTATAGAACAGGTATGTTAGAATACATAAAGGCGGTGTGAAATTGACTGAGATTGCAGATTCTTCTTTGGACTTTATCAAGAATCTCTGAATTTATAGCAGGAGCACTAGACCAGATGTGGCAGCAATATTTCAGTGATGGCGAATGGTAGACGGATACATATGTAAGATAGATTCTAGCGAGAAAAATTTTCTAGTACGACAAAATGAACGAACATTTCTAGCAGCAGCTCTGGCAAATGATTCAATATAATCTTTCCAATTCATGTCAGCGGAAAATTATATCTCGAGAGGGCGTAATAAGATACTCTCCTGTCACTTTAACTTCAGCTACGCTTTTCAGCAAATTATTATATATATATATATATATATATATATATATATATATATATATATATATATATAGGTGTGTGTGTGTGTGGGTTTGGGCAGCAATCCTTCTTTCATGCATATTTCATTGAATACGACACACAAGTTGCTTTTATTTAGTTTTTATACAATTTCCCATGCGATCTAATAATTCTTTTATTTTTCGGATGATAGATTATAAGAAAAATATCCGAATGTTTTTTTTATCCGAGCGCTTTCGGCTATACATGAATTGTATTCCTGATCAATCAAAATTCGTAAATAATTACAACATGTTTGACTCGCAGACTCGTTCTACATCTTTTTAAACATAGTTCAATTAGATCTCATTTAAATATTCATGGAGACCTACCGGGCAATATTCGTAATATAACGTAAAAAAAAAGGCTAAAAATAATGGAAGCCTTATTAATAAAAACAAAACAAAAAAAAAACACTGATTAATATTACCTTTGAACATGGACACAACATCTTGACTGTGTTTTGAAAGATGAAAACATTTTATAAAACATGCATACAATAAACTATTTCTTATTTAACAGTTAAAATATTTAATCCTTAAAAAGGGTTAAATGTATAGAAGAAAGCGCTCGGATAAAAAAGAACATTCGGACAGTTTTTATATAATTTAACATCCGAAAAGAAATAAAATATTAGATCGCATGAGAAATTATATAAAAACTAATTAAAAGCACCTTTTCTATCGTATTCAATGAAAAGTGCATATATATATATATATATATATATATATATATATATATATATATATATATATATATATATATATATGTGTGTGTGTGTGTGTGTGTGTGTGTGTGTGTTAGATCAGCTGCCAATTTGACCTTGTCCACGTGACGCGGTTTACTATTAAGACAATGCTACTATATATGTTGTAAATTTCTTTTTTTTTTTCTTTTTGCTTTTAACTTCTTCTTTTAATAATAATGTTCCTTCCTGGTTATGATGATTATTTAGTTAAAAATGCTAAGCTCAGATATTTAAAGATATAATTCCTACACTTATTTCGATCCTGTAAAAATCGCAATGAACGTATTCAATGATTATATCATTGATGATTATGATTATGATTATTTCTCATCATGAAACACAACTTGCTGGAGAAATTTACAACTTTCGTGAGAACGAGTTGAATGGCATATCGATACAACGGATAGCGTCTAAGAATGAGAAATCAGAAAAGGCGATTTCGAATTCCTGTCGAAATTTTACATATACTTCAGCACAAATTACCTTGCGTAAAAATCTTCTACCCCCAGTTATGCGTTAAATAGTAGGACTCTCTGAAAAAATCACTGCTATACTCACAAACTGTTAACTCCAAAAATATCATTAACATTCTTATTATTCTTATTATTAATTATTTTTTAAATTCGGAATCGTTTATGTCATGAAAAACAACTCGTAAAAACAAAAAAAAATTGATTGGCACTACATGTATTAAAAATAATTTGATATATTCCTCAGCGTTGTAATTGACAGTGAATTATTCGTTTAAATCGCAAATGCAGCTTTGGAAATAAAGTTAAACAGATTATAATTTAATCATATCACGAGTTATATACTTTTTCATCTATCATTTAAATCTTTTAATTCTGTTGTGGTAAGAACCAGTTACCCTTCTTACTACCATAAATAGACTGATGTCTTTCATGATAGTTAATCCTGAGTAGTTCTCTGAAGAAGTTAATATAACTGCAGTGACTGATCTATGATCACGACTGACTCTGTCGAGTTAAGTTTTCTGTTCTGCCAGAACCCATATCACCACACATTTATATATTTGTATTTTCGTAGTGAATAAATCATTCCTTAAATTAATCCTTCTCTTCGACGGAATATTAGCCTAATGGATAAGGCATTGATTCACGAATATGGTGATATAGTAAATTCTACGTTGTGAATTCAATCGCTGTGTTTTTCCTTGCTTCCTTGTGTCATATGCCCTACTCGACGAATAATTTATAACGCAATCATACGCCGACCAGGAGATATACACATTATCACGTCTATGAAGAGATACGAGCTATCTCTACCAGACCATGACAAATGGACAATTAGTAAACAAAAATATTCTAAAGAACACTGTTCGATTGAGATAATCAAACAGTAGTCTTTTCCCAGGTTCGCTTCGGTTTTAACACATATAAGGATCCACAATGCAAGGATGAACGATGAGGCGTAATAAATTTTGGTATAAGAATTTTCATATATACATATACACAAGATATTACAATAAAAGAAAAATATAAGCATGGGTAAGGCATCCGACGACCAGAACCTAAAGACTTATGTTGGGATACCACAATATGCCCAAATCCAAGTGGATTCGACTGAATCCGAACGGATAAAAAAAAAATAAGTATGAATAACTACGAATGCAGAAATCAACGCATACCCCCCCCCAAAAAAAAAGAGATGGGATAGGATTTGCATATTACTATTTTAACATGTGGAAAGGTGTTTGTGAGAACATAAATTTATGGATGCATGTGCATCATTCTAACACGGGTCCAAAATATATAGTTACTTATCTTTACATTCAGTTCTCTCTTTTACTCACTTTCCTTTCTTTTCTCTCTCATGTTTCCTCTTTTCTTTATTTCTTCTTCTTTACACAGTTCAGCTTCAACACGGTCCGGCTGCAACAGAGATATATACTTTCTTCTTCTCTCTTGATTTCTCTTTTCTTTCTTCAAACACAGGCTGTATTCTCAGTGTGCGAATTTCCTGGCGTCTTCTGTGATAAATAACTCGATTTAACTTCTTCAATCTGGAGTTGACGAACAGAAATATACATTCTTATATTTCTTATCCGGAGTTGCTTATGATGAACCGGACAAGTTCCATCATTACCAAAATGAGTCTCATCTTTCCGTTATCAGCGCTTCGATTTCGAGTCTTGCTCCTTCAAAAACAAGACAGCAACTGACTTCTAAGTAATTTTCTAATTCCCACGTGTCCTTCATTTTAGCGCGAATCCCAGTTCCTGCTGCTTCACGACCATACGTAAGTCCCCTGTCAAAATTCTGTCTAGACGTCTGTTGCTACGGATAACTGGGTCAGTCAACCTCAAGACCTGCTTCCCCAAAATGACTCGAGACTCTCACGTGACCTCTTCTGTTGTCACGCTGAGATTAATCTTAATATATGCGTGTATGCGTGTTTGGGCTATCTGCATTCGTAACACATTGTACCCAGTGAAAACAGGGCAATCAATAACATGACGACACAAAGAATAAAAGTAGACGATCTATCCGCATAAATGGGAAGGGGAACTAGAAGAGTCTATCCCCGTAGATTAAATAATGGACACTGAATTTCCCTGTACGTTAACCGAATTGACATATACGCGACGAAGTGCAAATGATACAAGCGCCGATAACAACTCAGATGAATCAATCATGTTCATGAAAATAGTGTAAATAATGATGGCTTCGTATACCAGAAATGCAGAGAGAAATTGTTAAGTTAGACTTGCCTTAATGTCGTCTGATATATAACTCTGCTACATGTGAGTTCATTATAATCTATAAAAGAATAGAATTAAACATATTTTAAACCAATATATATGTATGATTTGAGACATATTATTGAAAGCATGGTATAAGTAATAAAAATAATATTAACAACGATATAATGAAAAAGAAATCACGAAATTGAATATAAAACATGTAAGTAAAGACAATGATAAAAATCATGGAAAATGTAATGTTAGATACAATCATATATATCCGGTCTTAAGATCGTTTGAGATGTAAAAATTATAGTCACTATGCAGTGGGGATTATTATAATTTCACTGTATATATCCACAAATATTTTATCTCCTGTATAGAGAAATCTTCCAAATAATTATATTTGTTTTATACAATATATACAGGGTGCGATGGATAAACTGTCGTTTAAATTACGCAAAAATGAAAATAACATTGGCATCACATTTGAACACATACCTACAAAAATTAGACAAAAATACCTTGAAATACTAAAGAATCTGTTTAAGTTAGTAAGTGCTGAGATAATCCTTGCCTTCAGTTCACCTTTGTTGTTGCAAGGAGTTTTATTGATTTCTCGCTCAACTGCGTCCGAGACCTTTTAGTCAAAGGGTTGCAGTTTGGGAAGTTATATGATCAGATGTAAGGGGTGATTTGTTTGGAGAAATTGTCTGAAAAACATGGCTGGGTTTTCCTACATGTGTGTCATGTTGCCAGACACAAGGTCTTCCCACAATGACAGTTTTAATATAAGGCAGCATTATATGCTCAAGGCATTTGATGTAGGACTCCGTTTTGAGTCTGGGGGCCTATGTGATGATAAACAGAGGCATGACTTCTCCGTCACTAGTGATTACTCAATATATATTCGTAATTAGCATTAGATTCATCGAACTCTTTTCTAATCCTCTGCATAGTCCTCAGATTGACGCCCAAACTCTCTGAAATTTACGTATCGGTGCTTCCGGTGCGAATGCCAAGCTGTACAGCATGCCGCTTCCAAATTTCAAACGGAGTGTATTGTGTCATGGTGCTCTTTTTCTCACATATGACTCCCAGCTGATCTTACTATAGTGTGCAGACGACAAAATAAAAAATAACGCGCATGCGCGAAATAAAAAATATAAAAAGTGATTGAATAAATTAATGCATAACAGAATAAGATTTATACCATTGTCCCAAATAAAATGTGAAATCATGCGCTAGCGTTTCCTTGCAAGATCGATTAAATGGTATTGTCCATTCGATTGTCGATAGTCTTCAATTGCCTTGGTTATGTTAATGTCAGCTGTGACCTTATGAAAATTATTAAGTGTAGTATTCGACATTTATTGAAGGAGCAAATAAGGTTGTTTTTAATTGTAATTTGAAAAAAAATCATACTCAAATGAATTTTACCGGGAGATAGTTTTTTCTCGGTTTTATATACTGATATCTCTTTTTCTAGTATTGATGGGGCTTCATTCCTAACATTATATTTCAACTATTGCAGAACGTCAACATGGTTATGCCATTGTTTTCTCTTCGAATTACATAAGATAACCAATTTAATTGTTGCTGTTGTTGAAAATATTCAAGCAATATGGTTTCTGTTATCTGGTACATTATTTTGTTTGATATTCTGTAGCGCCAGTCCACAAATTCATAGAAGGATGGTCGACGCAAAATTCATTCAGTCAAAGCAATTTTTAACAATTAGTCTAAAAAAGCGGGTCTGGTGCCGTGCGTGACAGCCATATTTAAAGTTTCGATCTGACACGAATTTCCCCGTTAATATTGTAGTTTTTATAGCAAATTGATGTGTTAGGCGAGACTACATCTAGTGCAGCCTATTATAAGACCACTTTCCTTATCTCCGATACAAAATTTGTTATAACTGGTGTTTTGTATTTATTAATCTATATCTGAATTCCAATTCATCCCAATTCTAGAATATATTTTTTTGTTTTGGAATCTTTAAACTTGAGTTCTTTTTCTGTGAAAGCGTAGTGGAATATTTTGAAATTTGTTTAGATTATTCTTATCCCAACAACAATTAGCTATGTTGTCAGCACTCCCTCATCATAAGTACAGTCGGCTTAGGGTTGCAGTTTTATTGCTTTCTGTTAGTTGATTCGTTCCTGATGTGGAATGGTATGCTTAAAAGATCAGTACGCATCGCTTCACTTTTGTGCTCGTAAAGCCGCAGAGGACACCCTATAAATGATTAAATAAACTGCGGCTATCATAACCTGCTGGTCTTAGTCCTGATGAACCATTTGAAATGGTTCCATATCAGGATTCCGCACCAGACATTTTTGAATTTGAGGATCGATATAGTTTATCGATTATATTGAAAAATATCAGAATATGGAAGGTAGTTACTAATATATTCACACAAGACATCAGTGTTGATGCGAAAGTATACAGTTTAAGGTCAGCATAGCATATAAACAGTTTTCGATTATCGAAGTATGCTATCTCTTGGAGTTCTTTTATTGGTTTGACATGCAGGTAACAATTACATCAGTAACCAGAACGAAAATAAATAGGGTTGTGACGAGATGACATTAATAAAAAAGATGAGAACCCAGTCAATCTAATATTCATTAGATTGACTGGGTTATATGACCACAATTGATTCGAGTATGATACATGTAAATGTGTGTGGTTCTTGATGACTTAATAAACCCCATTTTTTGGAATGCGTTTCTCATTCTTAGGTGCCTTCATGAGATTGAGAAATTCTTCAATTCGGGAAAATGTTATCTGAGGGACCAGGTAAAAACACGTTCCGGGAGAAATAAAATATAATCAATGGACAATGTTTGTCCGTTTTCTAATTTAATTAATATTTGCTCTGGTTTGACATTGAGCACACTGGACTATAAGCTATAAGATTATCCGTATGATCACCAAAAATTTTCATTACCTAGAGCGATATATAATATATATATATATATATATATATATATATATATATATATATATATATATATATATGTGTGTGTGTGTGTGTGTGTGTGTGCGTGTGTGCATATATATATATATATATATATATATATATATATATATATATATATCAAGAAATATATTTTTAATGTGTGCTATATTTATGGGATAAAGTACTCAATATCAGAGAGAGAGAGCGTAGGTAAATATTAAAGTGAACTTTTAATTAACACTCAGAGGTGATAGGCTGTTTCATGCTTTGCGCAATCGTCAGACCACTTGACCATTACCTCTAGCATGAAACAGCCTATCGCCTTCAATGTACACTCATATATATATATATATATATATATATATATATATATATATATATATATATATATATATATTAAGGAGGTGTTATATATACATACATGCGTGTATGTTTCGTATGACAACGCTGTCGATAGTAATTATTTACTTATTTACTCGCTGCCCCACGCAGCAAGATGTGGCATAAAGCTGAGTTATAAAGTGGGGTATCCGAGCACGTAGGCTCGGCCAAAAATTCCCTAGAGACCGCGTAAAAATGGAGTTAGTTTCCCGAGACGAGACTCTACCCTTCAGCAGAGCCTCGTCTGGGATGGTACCCTCTGACATGTGCCAGTTAAGTAACGATAGTAAATGACTGAGAAATGGTTAAAAAGGATTATACATGTATATAAGTAGAGCAAATGGTCTTACTCTTAGAGTTACTAAAACTTTTAAAGGAGAAGCACATTTGTAGAAATAACAATGGACATAAGGTGAAAACAAACATTTGATAAAATGAATCTAGTCATTTATTACTATATTCTTCACATAAAAACCTATTATTAAATATCGAGAAGCTAACGTTCAATCAAATCTTTTCCGTGCTAATCATACAAGACGTTTCCTGATGATTATTAATATTAAAAGTCAATGTTTCCTTTGCAGGGTTAGGAACGTATTGTTCTATTTTAACATTTGGTATATATGTATGTACGGGCGTTTGGTAGAGTCGTTAGTGTGATCGTTTTCTGATCGAGTACTAATGTGACTTCAAGTGGTTACCAAACTCAGTGGACAATCCAGGAACGTGACATCTTTAGAAAATGCCTGAATAACATACAAGGTGTTGACCAAGACCTCTCGAACGGGATCAGGTACAGAGAACTGTTTAGAGACTGTCGATGATTACGCAAGCAAGTTGTCACCAAGCGCTGTTCATAGTGTTTTGACCCTAGATGATGTGCTATATCCCATGAAATCGAACTAAGCTGCAATGAAAACAAGAAGAAGAATCTGTGGATGTTGAAAACCAAACACAATTATGCCATAGCAAGGATGTGCAACATAGATTAACTAGACACACACATAAATACACATACTAGGATTTTGGGGGCAACCATTATCTATCTATCTAACTGCATACATATATATCACGTCATCCTATAAGTTCTGTCCGAATTTTGAACAAAAACAAAAACAAGTGACCAAATGTTACATTTAATTAAAGATTCAATCAACAATGTATTTTCCCTGATTATCTATGACTTCCTTCCATCTAATAACAAGCTTACTAATTCCATTACTGTAAAATTCTTTTGGCTTTGATTCGAAGAACTCACGAATGTCAGTTTTAACCTCTTCCTGTGTTACAAAAGCTGTTTCTTCCAAATGATTCTGTAAAATATGAACAAATGGTAGTCTGAAGGAGCAGGCTCGGGAGAATTAATGTGGATGAGGAATTTTCTCCCAACCAAGTTCTTCGATCTTTTGTGACGTGATTCTTGCTGTGTGGAGTCGCGCATTGTCCTGATGAAACATCACCTCTTTTCGATTCACTAGAGCCGGTCTTTTTTTCCTCAAAGCTTGGTTCAAACTCTCTAATTGCTGGCATTATATTTGAGCATTAATTATTGCATTAAATGGTAAGAATTCAAAGTGGATTATTACTTGGCGATCTCACCAGATTGAAAGAAGAACCATTTGCCAATAAAATTTCTTCTCGGCTATGGCTGGGGTCCTTCCCCTTTACCAAGCCACTGTCTACGACGCTTAACATTTCGATAACAGATCCATTTTTCGTCGCTAGTCAAAATCAATCCAAAAAAAGTGAAATAAGTTGGCGAGAATGGAGAGAAGAGAAGATGTCAACTCGGGAATTGAGGTTGTTAGCAGACAATTCATGAGGCACCCATTTTCCAAGTTTAGAAACTTTTCCAAGTTGTTGAAGATGACGATGAAGAGTTGTATGGTTTGAACTGAGAACCACTGCCAATTCCTCAACTGATAAAGCAGAATTTTCTTCAAGGGCTGCTTCAAGAAGCTTTTCATCAAACTCAACTGGACGTCCGGTTCGATCTTCATCTTCAAGGGTGATATCTCCACCTCTGAATTCTTCAAACCATCTTCTGCAAGTTCTTTGATTCACACATTCCTCTCCATAAACTGAGTGAATGTTTCTAGCCCCTTCGGCTGCTGAGTTTCCTTTCTTGAACTCATAAATCATTATGTGCCTCAAATGTTTCTTGGGTACTACTATGTTATCAGGGTTTTAATGAAATAAAATTTATTTTTATTGTTCTCTGAAATAAAGTTTGATCAGTTTAAATGCATCTAAACATAAAAATAATGTTCAGCTCCATTAGACATTATAAAATACTCTTTAAATTTCATTCGTTTTAACAAAAAGTTAAAATTCGGACAGAACGTATGGGATGACCTGATATAAATATATAGATATATTTCTACAGGACTAGGATATATGAATGAACATTAAACATCTCTAGACGTCTCCAGGGCTCATTGTGACTTTGCGAATTATTTAATAAATATAAACAATGAAATGTTAACCTACATATTTACTAGTCCGTTAATCAGAAACAATATATTTTATACGTATATATATATATATATATATATATATATATATATATATAGATAGATAGATAGATAGATAGATAGATAGATAAGAATATTGCTTATGATTAACGGACTAGTAAAAAAGTGAACATTGAAGTCAACACTTAGGGGCAACAGTCTGTTTCATGATAAACGCAATCGTCTTGCCTGATGTTTAATTTTATATTTACACACGCTCTATCTCTGATATTGAGCACTTTATCCCATAAATATAGCACACCTTAAGAGTATATTACGTATATATATATATATATATATATATATATATATATATATATATATATATATATATATATATAAGGTAATATATATATATTTTCGGGTAAAAACAACAACTCACCATCACTTCGGGACAACACAAGAGTGAGACAAATAAGGACCAGAAAAATAAATTTTTTAAACCGAATAAAAATAATTTTTAATTAGTGAAAATTTCGTTCAAATACGACATTTGAAGAGACTTTATGCAATATATTAACCATTTTTGTTTTGTTTTAATTACTTTAAATAAAGCAAATCGACATTTTTTTAAAGCATTTCACATCAAGCAAGACAGGAGCCTCACTAACACAGAAGCGATTACAGAGCGTGAGAG